CCTCGTGCGTGGCCCGAAAAATGTGAAGATTCACCAAAATATTCGTCTTAGCTGGTTATAGTTTAATGCTTTTCTCGTATTTTAGTTTTAGAGGTATATTCTCCTTAATCATGTCATGTTTATATACAAATAATAGTATTTTAGTTTTAGAGGTATATTCTCTTGATTCATGTCATGTTTATATACAAATAATAGTTGATATACCTGTTACGGAAAATTAGATGTTACACCTAGTTAATTACATTGAACTGTAGATCTACACATAATCCCACATTTACTCACGCATATGTGTGCTTAGTGGATAGTTATTTAATCAAATTTACGGTTTAAATCTACTCAATGTAAATAATTAGATGTAGCATCTATCTCTCCACAATTAAAATATGCAACTCAAAATAATAGATATGTTATGAGAATATAAGATACAAACGGTAGCATTATATTTAAATAATTTAGACGAAAATATAAGTACTGCGGTACTGCCAGACAAAACATGGCCCAAACATGGAGTAATATTACCAGCCACCACCGCCACAGCCACCACCGCCGCCACAACCACTGCAGCTGCCTCCACAACGACCACCACCACCACTGTAGTCACCACCAACACCGCTACTGATTACAGCCGCAGTGGCAGCAACTGCTGCTCCTGCTCCAAGAACAACCATTCCACCATCCTTCTGTCCGCTGCTTTTCGGCTTTTCCCCTTTCTCCACATCACGATTATTAATCACCGGCTGCTGACGTGGCGGCGGAGGAGGCGGGCGAGTTGTGGGCCGCGGAGTAGGTGGAGCCGGGGCTGCGGCGGGGGTCTTCTTTTTCCGGGAATTAATTTCGCAGATCAAATAACATAGGAGGAGGAGTAACGCGGCCACACAGCCGCAAACAATTAGCACAATTGCGTATGTTTTCATGTCGTAAACTTTGGATATATAGCTAGCGTGCGTACGAAGTTATGTTATATGTAATTTCTCTAACTTACATCTATTTATATTCGCTGTTGACGTTTAGAAATTAGTTTTGGTTGGTATAAACAATATACAGACATTGACATTGTAACAATAATATTCGAGGTTTTTTTTTTTTTTTTTTTTTTTAGTGTACTCGGTACTCCTCACGACGACTCCGCAATAATTAATGATGATTAATGACTTTTGAGGATCCACGACTTCACCAAATTTAGATATAATTCTGATTCACTGGATATGAAGAAGATGCAATCGTTATATGTGTTTCATTTGAGATTCCAGTCTTGACCTGGTAAATATGTTACTTCTATTTTCGATTTCGGTATATTATAAACAACACCGAAATTAAAAGAATTCTTCTCTTACGTTTGAAATTAAAATAATAATAATAATAATAATTTTCTCAAAAAAAACAAAGAAATTAAAATAATAACAATAATAAATAAATAAATAAATAAATAAATAAATCAAAAATAATAACAGAAACAATAACATGTCTAAATTGAACCTATTTAAAAAGAAAATAAAAAATAAAGGGCTATTTTTTTTTTAGTAAAATGCAATAACCCCACTGTGTTATGCAGAAAGGCCAAAAAACCCCTTGAGGAAAATGAAGTGCCCAAACACTCCATAAAAATAGAATTCCAATCAAAAATAGTCAATGGATCAATACCCTTTAAATCAGAAATTTTGAAAACTATAGATTCATCCCACTTCAAAATTTTCAATTTAGTCCCTAATATTTTCGCACTCATTGGCCGTAAAAATATATATTAAATATAAATAATAATAGGGTAAATTACAACCACCATCTGATGTATGGTCAAATTACGGAAAAACCCCTCATGTTTGGGTGATTACAACCACACGACCCCTAAACTATAAATCTTCTTACACGTCCACCATTGCGGGGTCAAATTTAGTGGAATCTTCTAGATTATATGGAATATTCTCATTTTTTTACCCGAATGATCACATTCTAGCTCCACATTTTGAAGCAAGATGATCATAAGATGTGTATTTTGGCTTGTATATATCAGATTGTGGTGCATCAGAAACTGCATGTTTGTACAAAACGAGTACAAACTATAAAACATTCCACGGAACTAGAAGATTATGTTAATTTGTCACTAGAACGGTGGAAGTGTAAGAAGATTCATAGTTGATGGGATATATAATGTAATTATCAAAACATAAAAGATGTTTTTGTAATTTAACCATACCTCATGAGGCTGTTGTAATTTACCCATAATAATAAGAAATATTGAAAAAAAGAAAGAAAAAAAAAAAAAGTCGTCTTCTTCCCAGCACCCCGCAACCCGCACACCACCCTACCCCATCCACCAAGCTCATAGCTCCATCCACCATTTCTTCTAGCCCTCCACCCACTCCGCAGTTCACCATCAATTCACCTCACCACAAACGACGTAGTCTTTCCTTGAGAATTGGACATCAGTGGGGTGCAATAGCGTTGAAATGCGATAAACAAATTGCTTCAAATGGTTGACGTGGATTTGGTGTCCTTGGTCGGCTAGAGGGCGGCGTGGGTTTGACAGGAAGAAGAAACTCAATCATCTTCTTTTTTTTTTTCTTTTTCTTTTTTAAATAATTTATTTATATTTAATATATATTTTTAGCATTTTGTTTGTTTAATATTGAAATACACAAATTGAGAGATTCAGCAGGGCGATTTTGTCCTTTTACACAAAAAAAATTACAAGAACCACAAAAGCAGTCGCACAAGCAGCAAGTGAACGACATCAACGAAAGGGAGGTAGGTGTATGTAGGATTGGACATGGATCGATTTTATCAGCTAACCGATTCACTTTCGATCCTCTTGTTTCGGTCGATAATTTTATTGCCAGATTAGTAATTTTAACGGACCCATATATCAATGGGTCAGTCGGTGGGATTCAGTTTACTCAAAAGTCGGTTGGTCGGGTAATATCGGCCAACCAACTTTTTTAATAATTTCTTTTTATTATACATATTTAATTGCCCGACCAACCAACTTTTTTAATAATTTCTTTTTAATATATATATTTAATTGCAATTCTTATTTTCTTTAATGTTAAAATAATATATAAAAGAAGAAAAAACTCAAAATCTCATAAACTGAAAACATAAATTTATAAACCTCGGTGTACTATTTATGTTTTATAATTTTATTTCATACTGTTCATTATATATTTACTTATCCTAGAATTTTATTAAAACAAAAATTCTTAATTTTATAGTTAAGATTTCTACGAACATAAGTTTTCCCAAAATCTTGAATGCCTTTTGCAAATGGGGCGTGCTAAATCCCACACTAAAATTTACTAAATTCCACACATAAATTAAAAAAAAACTCTCCCTACTCATATTTTTTCTAACTTCTCTCTAAGATAATTTTATCAATGTCACCCAAAATTCATTAATTTTTTAGGTGAATAATCATAAAAAAAAATGAGTTCAATTTTATTTAATATTTATTCAATTTCATTAAGACTTTTTAATTATTCAAGTTCATATCAGTTAGATTTTTTTCCCCTCAATTTCCATCCTTATTTTAGTTTGGACACGTGAAGATTTTTTTCTCAATTTCGAACTTGGAATGCTAGGGACGTTTTTAGTGTGTGATTTTATGAAAAAAAATTAGAGAAAAAAAAGAAAGGTAGAGAAGGAGAAGATGATATTTTCGAGAGATAAATATTTTCAGTTGTGTGCAGGATTTGGTAAAATGCGTGTGGGCTTTAGCATTTCAGTTTGCAAAAACTTATAAAATCATCTTATTATTGTTAAAAAAAAACAATAAATAAATTGATGGCCGATAATAGCAACCAACCACCCATTGTTTACCCGACCCATAACGATCGGGCCAATGATATTTTTTCAATTTTCAGTAAAATCGGATGATTGGATTAAATAGGTAATTGGCAGATAATTACCTGACCCGACCTATGTCCAACTCTAGATGTATGGCTTTGCCGGGTGTTTAGGTTACTTATTTTTTCTCATGGGGAGTTTTTACTCTATTTCTTTTTCTTGATTGTACCACCAAATTTCTCACCACACTCCACCACCTTATATTCTCTTGATATAGGCCACTTTGCCTAAATAGGATTTTGTGTATAGGTCATGAACATGGTCCAAGGAAAAACGGCCCAAAATCAGAAGTCCAACTATGTTAAAAGAGCATACGAAACGCTAACAATGACAGGAGGAAGGTTGCATCTCTCAACGAATGATGTCACGACGCCATATCGCCGGACAATGTGGGAAAGCCTCTGGTCATTGTTATTAACGAACTAGGATATGTGTAATTTAACCTAAAACCCCATTAAATACGCCATATCACATCTGATCTTTGCGGACAATCTAATGGTATTTTCTCGAGGAGATGTGGAAACGGTCCGAATCCTCGCCTAGACGGTCTACGAATTTGGGCAGATTTCGGGGCTCAAGGCAAATCATACGAAGTCTAATATCTTCTTAGCGGGAGTTAAACCGGGGGATCGATTAGAGATCGAAAACGAGTACCGAGAATTAGGTTACACAACCCTGACGAGACTTGCATCTCGGCACGACCATGTCTATAAATTGGGATTTCATTAAAACCTTGAACTCTTAATGGTTTATTCTACAAAAAACATATAATATATTCTCAAACACGAAAACTAACTTATTCGTATTAAATAATAGGGGTCGTATTAGTACATTTAGTAGTTGAAAGGCGTTCTTTAGACAAAACCCATAATTCAAAGGTGCAAACTGTGTTTTTCCCTTAATTAAATGAAAGCAAGATTAGGATCCGAATACTTGCTTGGTCTAGAGATTCGAAACAATATTTTTCTAAAATCCAACAATTAATCCAACACTTTCGACAAGTTGAAAATTTCAATACAAAAGAAATAAAAATTTGTAGGTTTAAATTCACACATAGGAATGAGATTATTAGTTTACTTTACAACATTCGTAATCATATATATAATAGAAATTCAACATCTACAGCATTCCACACATACACGAGATTAGTAGTTTACTTTACATTAACCTCCACAGCCGCCTCCACAACCCCCGCCGCAGCCACCACCGCAGCCGCCTCCGCAACCACCACCATCACCGCCACCGCCACCACCGCTACTTACTACAGCCGCCGTGGTGACAGTGGCAGCGACAGCTGCTGCTCCAAGAACAACCATTCCACCATCCTTCAACCCGCTACTCTTCGGCTTTTCTCCCTTCTCCACATCACGATTATTATAAGTCACCGGCTGACGTGGCGGCGGAGGAGGGGCGCGAGCCGGGGCTGAGGGGCGTTTCTTTCTGCGGCGATCGTTGCATAGACAACATAGGAAGATGACTAATGCGGCCACACAGCCGCAAACAATTAGCACAATTGCATATGTTTTCATGTCGATATATTGGATAGTGTTATGTACGTTATAACTTAATTAAAGTATATGTAATTCCCTTACACGCTCTTTCTATTTATAATGTCTGTTCACGTTATAAGTTTAGAAATATATTTTAAATTTGGTGTTTTAAAATAAATGTGACTAGGAAACAAGCTGGAAACTTTGCTTGGTAGACAAGACAATATAGACATTATTATTAGTTATTACAATATTCAGAGTTCCTTGAGTGTACGCCTCACGATTCACGCCGACCGGTCAGCAGCTGACTGACTTTTGAGGGTCAACGACGACGACTTCAGAAAATTAAAATACATATGCAATTCAATGGAAATTGAGATGAAAGTATGCGTTTGTTTTGAAGATTCCAATCTTTGACTTGGTCCATATCTTACTTTAATTTTTTGTTCGGGTAAATTATAAATAACCCTATGAGGGATACCGAAGCTAAAAGAAGGGTTTTATGAGAAAGTCTCCGGCCAACATTATTTTATTAATTAAGGTTTAGGTGTTTTATCTCTTTCGTCAATAAGTTCACCATTTAACATGTATTATAAATAAAGACAAAATTGATATGCATGAGAAAATTGTCCTCAACCCTTTAAACTGTAATTTAACTCAAATTTCACCAATTTTAACCACAAAAATCCGATTTTGACATTTATTTTATAAAACATTTATATTTTTGATTTTTATTCCGTCAGTGCACATACCGAACAAGTAAATCGCCGACTAAAAGTCGAGTATCGATCCCTCGAGAAATGTTTAATCATCTAATATTAAGCGCTAGATTTTTTATAACTATGTTCAAACCCACCATACACAGTTGACTTTAGAGTTTATTTAACTAAATTATAAGAAGCAAATAAATAAGCAAATAACACGAATATTTATCAAATTAAAAAGGCCTAAGATTTTATTTTCCCGATTTGTGATTATTGATCTCCTAATTCCTTCATTCATGCAAGTAATTAAATCATATTACTAACTTGAGATGTTAAATTAATCATAACCCACTTCCGATATTACGATTATGTTACTCAGGACTAAATTACTGTACTCCTACGTAGTTCAATCAAGAATAAAGTATTAAGCACAAATCTCAATTATGGGTACCTAAGAGGTAAACTATATTTCTATGATAACACAAGAAATGTTCTTCTACCAAGTTCTGAATATTAAACCGAACTTCCGATTTGAACTTAATAATAACAGCAAAACAAATAAGGTGATCAAGCTCATGCACTTAATATCAAGTAGAATAAGTAATATGGAATTAATACTTGTATAAAATCATGGAAAAGGGTTCACAAATCCCACATAGAGTTCGAATAAAATCCTAGAATTAAAGAGTTTAGCTACTCATAATTTTACGAAAATAATAATATAATTCATAAAAGAAGAAATTTAAACTATGGTTGGTTCTTCGATCTTCTTCATTATCGCGCCTTGCTTGTTGCTTCTCGGATTGTGTAATTGGATAGTGATTTTTGTGCAGGGTGTTTTTTTTATATAGTGGTCAAAACTTGATGTAAGAATCACAGATTACTTGTGTAATTAAAATTCTCATACTCTGCAGATGAGGGCTTCGGATGGTCGTCCGAGATTTACTTTATTTTCTCGGACGGACATCTCAACTTGTAAGACGTTTTGTCCAGTTTTTCTCTACGGGACGAACGTTAGGGTTTTTAGTTCATTTTCCAGACAACTGTCCGAATCTTTTTTGGTGCACTTGGCTGGTTTTTCGTTTTTGCTCGTTTTTGCTTCATTTTTTGGACCATTAAGCCCTCCAATCATTCGATTCTTCAATGTGCACCTAAAACACAATAACCAACTCTTTGATCACCATACAATCATTAAAATCTAACAAAAATCCTTGTAAGAGAATATGATTTGAGTGTAAAATTTACACTCAACACACCCCCAAACTTGGACTTTTGCAATAAAGTCTTTCCCTTTTCATCATCAAGTGCTGACGTATCCGTCCTTTGGGATCAAAGTCAAGCTAATTAATCTCCATTGATGAAATTCATTTTTCTATCCGTTAGAGTAGGTGACCAACAAGCCAACATGTGGTTGTGGTCTTTCCATTTATTCTTGTAATAAATAAACCTTTTTCGTATTAATGATAAAACACATTGGCATTCTATATCTTTGTCCCTTTGTCTCAAACAGAGATATAGTCCTTACAGTTATTACAAGTACTAATAATTGATCTTTAGGATCGTGAGATATTTACTTTAGTATTATAACTGTTAAACGTGTTCCTAGTCGAAGGGTTACGCCACCAATGAGAATATCGGCCTTTCCCATTAAGAGACTAGCACTTACTGTATGTGTACTGCATCTTATCAGTAAACGGTATTGTGATATCGGCATGCATAAGTGGGTGCTCGTAAGTTGACGAGTTCACTGAACTCCCTCACCCTAGAAATCTTGAAGTGGTTCTCGATAATCGAGTAGAGATATCTATGGTATAATTTTACACCATTAGTCCTTATGACCTAGACATCACCGTGACTTCACTAGAGGACCAGCTGCATCGTGACCTGTCCCTGAGTTCCACCAAGGACCGTCCCAAGGGCCAGTGTTCGTGCAATCCGAAATCTAGTGGGAAGTCTGTGCATTGGAGTCGGGGATTCGATCGCTAGAATAGTCTTCGATGTCCTGTTTGTTCTCATAGTTTGTAATCTCTAAGTCTCTGGCCAGAGCTGATTAGAGAATTTGATTCTCTAAGTCATGCACGTAACGATTACAACACTTAGAACAACCGCACAATCATTGAACTACTAAGGAAGTCTCGATGAATCAATTCCTCTAGTTCAATCGGGACATATGAATCGAAGGGATCGTATTGTACGTTAACTATATCAAAAGGTTCTTGCAGGCACTTCATTTGTATCTAGAGAATCATGACGCGTAATTGCTAGATGCCAATCTTGATTCGTTGGGTGATTAAGGTGAAACGAGCTTCATCTTAATCGTAACTCTAAGGGACGAGTTTTGACCACAAAAGGGTTGTGGGCCCGCGGCTAGCTTACACCTGAACCATCGAGGGTCACACTGCTCGTGTCCACGAGATCTTTGAATAAACGGTCAGAGATAAAAATGTTTTATCTTTGCATGATTGGAAGTCAATATGATTGAGTCCAACATTCCTAATTTGGAATTATGAATGAGAATAAGAAAAGGAAAAGAATAGACGAACATCTTAGGGGACTTTCTAAATCGGGAAGTTTCCAAATTTAGAAAGTGCACTGAATTAGGGTTTCCACTTTTAGAAAGTTGAAAATCGAGCATTGGCACTCGTAGTGACGAGGACATTATAAAGATTCCAAAAATGTAATCGTTACAATTTTCCGATCATTGAATTGAGAGAAACGAGCAAGTAAAAAACTAACGAACTTAAGCTGTTGGGCCCGGTCCAACTTAAGCCCGATAGGGCTTTTATGCAAGACACTATAAATACATGATTTATAGGTCTTGCACACACACACAACACATCTCACAAACCCTAGCCGCTCGCCCCTCTCTCTCTCGGCCAAGCTCACTCACGGCCGCCGCCGTCGCCGCCGTTCCACCGCCGGAAATCGGCCTCCCTTGGCCGATTATTGTGGTAGTTCTTTTCCTCTTTTCTTTTCTTCCGTCTATTCTAACTATTGCGTGTCTAGTGCCACGTTTTAGTAGATCGAAGTATACGAGGTGAAATCCAAGAGGAGGAAGATCGAAGAATCGAAGAACCCAAGAGCAGCCCCCGAGCCGACGACGCACGCGCTCCCACGCGCCGCCCGAAGACAGTGCGTGATCATCACACGCCGCCGTAGCTTGCACCGCCGCCGCCACTGCTTTGCCTTCGCCGCTCCCGGATTGCACGGATTGGTTTCCGTGGCAATCTTGCTTGGTTTCGTGCGCCAACCTCATGCTTCAAGAGGTAATTCTCGAATCCGGAATTCGTTAGGTTTTATTTTAATTAGATTAAATTATCCATATTCGTTTTCCTAGTACGTTTCGTGAATTTGTATGTTTTGTATGTTCACATGAAATTCATGATTTACTGCGAGCACGTTAAATGATTTACTGCGAGCATGCTAATTGATTTACTGTCGATTAAATTAATTTGCATGATTGTCGTTTTTTATTTCGCTGGAAGCGTAAAGGTACGCAATTAATTGTTTAATTATTGCCGGGCATGTGATTATGTGATTTAAATTTGTTTAATTCGCATAAAGTTTTTGTTTTCCGGTGCGTACACGTGTCCGATTCCCAACAGTGGTATCAGAGCTCGTTGCTCAATTAATTGCGTTTTCATATGCTACGCTTATTTTGATGCATGTTCAATTTATTAAAGTTGTGATTGTTGTATTATTTAATTGGGTGTTTTCGAAAGTTTAAAATATTTTTGAAATATTGTTTAGATTTTTTCCTGCTTTAAAATTGTTAAAAATTGGAAAATCGGATCTGAAATTTAATTAAAATTATCGGTTTTTAATTTGTTCGGATCGAACCGGCCGGTTCGATGGTTCTACTCGATCCAATTGACCGAATCCATGTGGATTCGGGTCGGTCAGACCGGTTCTCGGTCTAACTGATCCGGCCCACTGATTTGGGTCAACTGGACCGGTCAGAACCGGACCGTTTCGGTCCGAACCAGTCAGACAGGTCGGGTCGAACCGGTTCACTGAAAAAAGAAAAAAAAGAAAATTATTTCAGATTTCTAAAATTAAACTTAAAACAAATTGATTTTAATTTTTGGAAAATTATTTTCAATTAAACCCAATTAGATAATCGAATCAACAATCATCTATTTTAGTAAATAGGTGTTAGATTGATTAATTAATTAAATTAAATTGTTAAATTGATTTTAATTAATAGAACACACATATAATATTGATTATACTTCAACTTAATTAATAGTACCTCAACATTATTTGATTGATTTATGCTAGTTGAGGTCCTATAATTATTTAAAAAACCCGATAATTAATTAATGTAATTAATTG